TTGGGACACGCAGGCCAGAACCAGAGCCAGAGCCAGACTGCTAGAAAGGAACTAGGTCAGCTTCTCTATCCTGCAAGAACTGTGGTCCCATCTGCAAATGGAAGTGGGTTTGGAACAAAGTTACTCAGGTGTCATAGTCACTAACAACTGTGAAGTGGCATCCAGAGCTAAGTAATGTGTGAACAGCAACCAGTTTCACTGGCTCAAGAAAGGGAGAAAGGCAGCTTTACCTAGGTGCAGAGATACTAACCAATTAGTCGAGTGAGGAGCCCTATGGAGCTCCTCCCCGAAGACTGCGTGGAGCACTTGCACTGACTTTATTGGTAGTGTTTCTGGTTGGCATCCTTTCGTCTGTGAGCGATGGCGGGAATTGGTAATGTTTCTAACGCGCTGAAAACAGGCCAAAAAAAGGTTGCAAAGGCCACGTTTTGGTAGGGTCATGAAAATAACCAGCATCGCTAGCATTTCTCCGGTGGAACTAGAATTTAGTAATCAAGAAACACAGCATCGCAGCAGATGGCAGCTCAGGGAGAGCTTCCTGGCCCCCAGGGTTCAGGCTAGCAGGCTTTCAGCATGCATGCTGTAGAGAGAACACATGCCAGGGAGCAAGGCTTCTGGCTGAAACCTGTTGCAGCTGGGCTGTATTGAAAGTGCAGCAAGAATGGAGGAAGGGAGAACAGCACATTTCTGACCCACCGTGAAGGGTACTGGGAGAAGGGCGGTATGGAGAGTATTAAGAGTGTCTATTTCTAAAGGAGCTTGCTTGGAGTACCAGTCTAGTGATGGAGGAATGGTCTCTGCTCAATTCTATCTCTGGATGGCCCAAGTACCTTAGGCAAGTGCTCTACCCATGGAATCGACAGCCAGGCAAGTCTCGCTGTAGCTAAGCTCTTTATAGCCTAACAAAGATCCGGATGCAACGTCTCTGCACGGCTTGTGCTCATGCACCAGCACGAGCTGCTCAGTCAGCGGAAAGTGCCAGACTCCATGTGAAATTGAACACTTTGGCAGAGCCTGATCGCCTGCTGGAGACAGCCCCTATGAGGTAAACAGCTGATTGACAGGCCCCCAAACCTTGACAGCAGCAGTGAAGTGTCTCTTTGAAATTCAGGGGAGCCTGAAACATTGTCACCCGGCAGAGCGGGCAGGATGGAGCTCTCCTTCGTGTTCAGAGCTCACAGGCTTTCCCTTAGCCTGGCCCAGGATGCAGTGACCCATCGCACCCCTCCCACGGGTTATGGAACAAAGAACTACAAGCAAGAGCACCCCACAACAGCCCAGATTCAACAAGAGTTTGTCTCCAAGGCAACAGAAATAATCGCACAGGTTGTGGAAATCCCACAAGTGCCACATACGGGGCTAGGATGAAACCTTGGGCTTGTTGACATGCAATGCACACACAGTGCAGCAACACAGCCAGCAACAGCTCCAGTAGGTTACTATCCTCCTTCTACCGGGTGTAAAGGAACAGCTTCACCGGCACCTACCTAGCATTTGCTTCTGCTCCTGAGGAGGAGCTGCAGCGAGCATGGATGCAGTCAGAGGCTCCTGCCCATGAATATGAACAGCAGGTTCTCCAGCCTGAACAAAGCACAAGGGATAGAATCACTCAGAACAGCAGGAAGCAGCATCTGGGTTAATCAAGGCGCGCAAGTCATATTTGAGAAGCAAGGATTCAGGGAAGAAGGGCACAGTCTATTGGGAGGGCTTGGTAGTTACAGCCCCTTTTCATCTGGGGATCTCAATGATTAGCCTTAACCCCTGTGAGGAAGGCAAGTCAGGGCTGGATTAAGGCAATCCAGGGCCTAGGCACATCAGGTGGCCTGGTCTCCACCTAAAATGTAGGTTGACCTAACTATGTCACTCAGGGCTGGAAAAAATTTCACAGCAATGAAAAAAATCCCTTCCACCGATGCAGGAGGCTTTATAGCTGTGCTGCTGTAGCATAGACACGGCCCGTGTCCCTGCCCAGAGAGGCAGGGCAGCAGCATGGGTCCCACTTATCAGCCCCTTCACTAGGAGCGGCAACAGAGGCCTGTTCTCCACACCAAAAGGCAGGAGTGGCAGTGGGGAGAGGCTTGCTTACCCAGCAGCAGTCCGGATGCGTGTGTGGGGGTGAGGGGTTGTGCCTGCTGCCCTCTCCTGCCACACAGCTCTCAGCTGGAGTGGTGCTGGCAGGGCCCCTCAGAGCAGTGGGGTACGCCACTGAAGTGCACTGGGGACTATTCACACCTCTGCGAGCTAGTGTGTAGGGAGCCTAAAGCAATGAGACTTCGCTTGACTCAGGTTTTCAAGCTCTTATTCACAATCATGAGGCTAGAAAGTTAATTTCAGCTTTCATTAAAAATAAAATAAAATAAAAAATAGTGGTATAATCACACAACTCCGGCAGCTGGGTCCCTAAGCAGGAACCTGTAGTGCCTAGGCCTTAATCCAGCCCCAAGGCAAGTTACCCCCATTTTGCAGATGAGAAGCCCGAGCTGCGCTGATTGTGAGTTGCCCGTGGTCACACACGAATCAATGGCAGAGCCAGAAGTGGCCCCCCACGAGCCTGGAATCCCAGTCCCCTGCCCTCATCACTAGAGCACAGCTCCGTTAAATCGCTGGCTTCCTTCAGGGCCACCCGCACCCAGGGGCTTCCAGACAGCATCTCTCTAAAAAGGCACAAGAGACTTGTTTTTAGCATTGCTGAAAGCCATTTGAGGAGTCCCATTTTCAGTACTAGAGGAAGAGCTTCCCCATTCCCACAGAGGAGGAGATACTCAATTCCAGCTTTGCTACCAGCATTAAGAAACAACTCTTCTAAGTGGCAAGGGCCTGGCAGTTTCCAACCAGGCAGATAAAAGAGAACGGAGTCAGAATACAAAGAGAATCTTTACGCTTCAGGAGGGAGACTAAACTCCATCTCCTCTCCCCTCCCCACACTGGGGACTCCCAGTATCTGGGCTCGCCAGATTTGGCCCAGCTGATGGTCTCCATGGAGAGTGAGGGATGCACCAACGTATCAAATGGAGCAGACTACAGCACATAGATGAGGCATCCACACAAGGCACTAGACCCAGCATGCAATGCTTTGCATTGATCTGAGTTGTCTGGCTGGTAAAGTCAAGATGCAACTCTGTATGATTGGGTGCCTGCCTTTCCTATCTACAGGCTGAACAGCCAGATGGCAGTGCTCAGTGGGCAATGCTTTAGCCACCCTGTCCTCTAACAGGACCATGCAAGATAGAGCAACTCCCTAAAGGTTAGGGTTGCCAACTGTCTAATCACACAAACACAAACACCCCGGCCTTGCCCCTTCCCTGGGGCTCTGCCCATGCCCCGCCCCTTCTCAGAGGCCCGTCCCACTCACTCTATCCCTGCTTGCTCTCTCCCACCCTCGCTCACTTTCACCTGGCTGGGGCAGAGGGCTGGGGTGCAGAAGAGGGTGTGGGGTGCAAGCTCTGGCCGGGCAGCGCTTACCTCGGGCGGCTCCCAGTCGGCAGCACAGCAGGGCTAAGGCAGGCTCCCTGCCTGCCCTGGCCCCGCGCCTCTCCCAGAAATGGCCGGCACATCCCTGGGGAGTGGAGGGGGATAGAGGTTGCCGCATGCTGCCCCTGCAGCTCCCAATGACCACAGTTCCCGGCCACTGGGAGCTGCAGAGTCTGCGCTCAGGCAGTGCATGGAGACCCCCTGCCCACCCTCAGGGGCTGCAGGGATGTGCCAGCTGCTTCCGGGAGCGGTGTGGGGTCAGGGCAGGCAGGAAGCCTGCCTTAGCCTGCTGTGCCGCTGGACTTTTAGGGGCCTAAAATCTTCTGATTTGATTTCAGTATCCTCCAGGAGATAGAGCCCGATTCCGGGATACTCCCGGCGAAACCAGGAGGGTTGGCAGCTCTACTAGAGGTGTGAGTCCATCCTTCCTCCACCCCCACCAGAAACTCTTTAGTAGCAGCAGAGTTCTCATCAAATGCAAATGGGAACACCAAAGGCCTTTTGGAACTTGGCCGCCATCTTTGCACTGCAGGGGCTCAGGAAACACAGGCTAGTTTTGAAATGGCCACAGTTCCGCATTCTATTCCGCTTATCCCTCCCTGTGACTCTCTAGCAGATCACTGGGTCCTGCCCCTGCTTCAGCATCTCTAGGACAAAATCCTGTGAATGGGTTACCTGTTGTACCAGCATAGGTGCCACGCTTCCCATCGGCTGGATGTTCCTCACTGCTGAGGAGTACTTATACTGTGGCACGCCCCGCGGCAGGGATGGTGAGGTGGGTGCACGCGCACCAAGCGTCTGGGTCCCTATGTTGGCTGGAAGAGACACAGGAACATTAGCAAGGAAGCGACGTGCCAATAAGCGTCTGCACATGATTTAACTCTACACCTGCCAAGAGCGTGAAAGCAGCATGCCAAGCAGGACAGGCAAAATACGCCCCTCACAACTTGAATGGCACCCACACGTTGCTTTGAAGTTCAAAAAGGCTACGTGCTCTCCTAGCGCAGAGTAATCAATCAGGGGAGTGGCGGGATGTCAACGAATGGACCTGTCTTTTTCATTCCCCACCCACAGATTGATGCCTCTCAGCATCAGCAGCTGAAGGTCAGCACCATGCCCTGGTACCAAGGAGCTTGCCCCAGGACTCCTACTGCGAATGCATCAGCGAGGATGGCACGGTGCTCACTCACAGCCGGAGCCACAGACAGCATGCTGCCATTCGTGCAGGAGCAGGAGGCTGCCCTCCTCCTGTTGTCTGCCTGACTCCGCAAAAGGAAAGTATGGAAAAAGGACAAAGAAAACTGAGGAGAAGCAACAATGATGGGCCCCTCCAAACCCTCCTCCTCCCGCCTCACCCACATACGTACGTGTGGGCTGTATCCATTTCACATGGATTGTGGGGCCACCAGAACTCCCACTTCACCATTTGGGAGCAGCATTATTGCTTCCTAGTGCACCCTGCTCCAAAAACTCATTGGGGAACCACTTTCATTCCCCTCAGCTACCAGAAGCCCAGAACCCTGCCCAAGAGAATGGACTCAACAAGTGTCTCTGACACCAACTGCTTCACATTGCCTGCTCATTTAAAGAACAGAAAAGACTGAGGGCCAAATACAGGAGCAAGTCTAAGTGCCACAAGGACAAGAGAGAGAGAATGAATTTAGGCCAGTGCAATTTATTCTCTTGCCTGGCACCTCCAGCCAGTAAATTACATATATCTTAGACAACCTCAGGCTCGTACCTCTTACCAACACGCAGCTTCTGCCTCACCCCCTTTACACATCACCTAGAATTTGGCCAACTAAGTCCGAGTGTGAGACTGACCTGGTGTAACTCTCACACTAAGGAGCCAGAAATGCAGAGAGTAGCAAGGAAAGCAACTAAGTCCTACATACACATTACCTCCGAATCTGGCCCTCAGATTCTGCTGTTGAACCTGCTCAACTCTCCACCACCACTTCACTTATGCTAGTGAAAAGTGTCTGACAAGCCACTGAGTCTCTCTTATAGGTATCCTTTGACTTGGATACCTAACACAAGAGGCCAAGACAGTCAAACCCCATTCCCCAATCCTGCCGAAGCAAGAGCTGCATGTCAGTAGGTAAGCCCAGAGGGGATGAACTAGATGCAGTCATGGGCAGGCACTCATTGCTCAGAAGAAACCCTGAGAGCAAGAGCTAAATCAAATCTAAAGGCACAAGATAAGCACGGAGCAGTTTCAGACCATTCATCCCTGTCAGTCTCTACTATAAGCACTGGCAATTTCTATTTTACTTGGAATCTGAAAACCTTTGTTGTTGTTTAACTGGAAACATTAAAAACCACTTCCTTTGTCCAGGGAATCCCTTTAAATCTGTTTTTGCCTGGAGAACACACACTGCCTAAATGTTAAATCTAGAACTGTGGTCATTACTACTGAACTGCACACGGTGGAACCAATCAGGATCAGGGTCCTTTTGTGCTAGGCACCGACCTGAAGACGACAACATTCCCTGAACTACAAACCCATGCACTACTAGGGCTGTCTGAGGCCTTGTCTACACTACGCATGAAAGTCTTTCTAACCTACACAATTTGAGTTACGTGAATAGCGTAACTCAAGTCAACGTAGCTTAGATCTACTTACCGCGGGGTCCACGCTACTACTCCCCTGACTCTTCTCGATCCGGTGGAGTACAGGAGTCAATGGGAGAGCGATCAGTGGTCGATTTAGCGGGTCTTCACTAGACCCGCTAAATCAACTGTCGATCCTCCGGTAAGTTTAGACAAGCCTTAAGTCCCGTGAGTCCATTGGGGACACGGCACACCACCATTCTACTGCAAGCTTTTGGGGTGAATTTTTACCTACACTCCAACTTCGAAGGGAGAGAAGGCAAGATTTTCAAAATCCTCCTTCCCCACACCACCATTAATAGGCTCAGTAGAATTCAATTTCTATTTCTTTATTTTTATAATGTTGACAGGTAATATCAATGTTTACTGGGAAAGATTTAAATTTCCACAGGTACGGGAAATTATTTAATGACAGTAGATGTTGAGATTCAAAAAGTTAAGTTTTATAAATTACAAATTGTCAACATCACATGTCAAACTAGACAAAGTCATTAGCTGGAAATCAAATTCTAATAAGTTCTCAAGCAGCATTTTTCTAGTTTTGCCTATCTGCAATTTTGATCATTAGTAGTGGAAATATTTCTGTCAGTCTGTGTGTGTACTGTGAAATCGACATTTATCAACAAAAATCAAATCCTCCCAAGCCTACCCATGAACAACTGCACAAGCCAACCCCTCCTCCAAAAGGCAGAGAGAGAGAGAAAGAAACAAGATTGTGGCCAACGCCCTCCTGGACACACATTCACTAGATACTTGTAACCCACTGCCTCCTTGACTTACCCACTCTCTGGGCATGCGGTGGCACTCGGGGCACCTGGGTAGATGCCTGTCTCATGGTGCTGATGTTGGATAGCAGGCGCCTGGGTGGAGCTGCAGCCCTCAGGATTGGGGTAGCCGTGTGGTAGGCGGCTGTAACGATTGAACACATTGTAAATTTCCCGATGAAGACGCGGAAGGAAACGTCTGTGCTGGGATGTGAGCCCGAAAGGCAGTGTTTACCAGTAGGGTGAGAGAACGAAGGGTTTGACACGCAGACAAGAGGGGACGCCTTTTCGCTTACTCTGTGCAATGCAGGCAGCTTTGTTTCCCAAAACTTATTGCCTGCAGGTGACCCACCAGCCAACCGTTTCCCCCTAGCTGCATGGTTTGTGCTGCTTTTAGAGAGCGTTCAGTCCTGAACTACCCCAGCACCAGAAGGAAAAAACCAAAACCACACACCAAGCTGCGCAGAGCAGACACAAAAGCACACAGTCGCTCCCCTCCACCACACACAGACTGCCTGTCACAGGGGGTCAGAGGAGGCACAGCAGATTTAGACTCACTCACAGGGAGGCCTGGAGGGCTGCGCGCTCCACCGAGGGGCAGGACGGACTGGGGCAACTGGGCTAGGACTGTAGAAAGTAGCTCTGGTTTGTGGCTATGAAAGGAGCAGAATACAGAGTCTCTCACTCGCCAGCGTGAGTCAGTAGTACAACCCTGCAGCAGCAGCAGCAACAGAGACCGTAACTCGGGAACTGCAGACGTGACTGGATGAACGGATCGAAGCAGAGCTCAACAGATCCCTTCATGAAATTGGCAGCAGCATGAGACAAACACTTCCATAAGTGACTGACATGCCTACAGACCCAGGACCCACTAACGCCCAGTCTGGAGGCTAGGGAAATGTTAGTACCCACGTAAGGAGGCCAGTCAGAGCTAGGATATCCTGAAGGACTGGAGTCATTAGTAACTTCTGGCACAACAATAAAGGGGGAAAGCCTCAGATGGCAAGTCTGGTGAAATCTCTAGGGGGAATCATAGCTCTGGGGTTAAAAGCAGAGGATAGGCCTGTGATAATTCAGATATTTAAACACCGAGCGTCTCAGAAATCTCTCTATAATGCCAATCACACCAATGCATTCTAGGCATTTATACCACATGCAGTGCCATGTCCTGAAGTGTTTTACAGGCCCATTTCCTGCTGCTTCCCTTCCTGTTGCCTGTACACCTTCCAAATGTCCCATTCCTCTGCTCCTCCCACTCACCTCTGCACCTTCTATGCCACCCCAACACATCAGCTCACACCCTCTCGTCTAACACACGAGCCCCTTCTCCATGTGCCTTCGCCTGCATCACACTTCTTCTGCCAGGCCTTTCAACCATAATCCACTCGGTATGCCACTCACAGCAAGCTCACTTGAATCTCACTGTCTGTACAAAGTGGCCAAGATTTTTTAAAAATGGGTGCCCAACATGGATCCGGGTGCCACTTTGGGTACCCAATTACATGGCCTGATTTTCAGAAGTGTTGAGAAGGCAGCACTGTGTGTTCCAGCACTTCTGGGGAACACAAATAAACAAACAGTCCATTCATTAAAGGGTCTACACACGGACTTAGGAGCCAGCCTTAGGCAGCCAGTTTTGAATATTTTGCCTATGGTGTTTACACACTGTACTATGTACACCAGTTAGACTGTAAGCTCTTGGGGGGCAGAGACTCTTCGAGGTCGGCAGCGTTGGGTACGCTGACAGTGCTCAATCAACAACACAAGCACGCAGGGCAGACTGAGTCAGGTGAAGTGTGGCACATTAGCCCATCAGGTAAGCAGAGAGATGATCAGGACAGATTCTAAGGGTAACCAATTCTGCATCAGCTTGGTGTGTCGTAGGGTGGAAGGACGGATGGGCTGAGTGGGATTTGATAGCTGCTTTCAACCACCTGAAAGGGGTTCCAAAGAGGATGGATCTAGACTGTTCTCAGTGGTACCAGATGACAGAACAAGGAGCAATGGTCTCAAGTTGCAGTGGGGGAGGTTTAGGTTGGATATTATGAAAAACTTTTTCACTAGGTGGGTGATGAAGCACTGGAATAGGTTACCTAGGGAAGTGGTGGAATCTCCTTCCTTAGAGGTTTTTAAGGTCAGGCTTGACAAAGCCCTGGCTGGGATGATTTAGTTGGGAATTGGTCCTGCTTTGAGCAGGGGGTTGGACTAGAAGACCTCCTGAGGTCCCTTCTAACCCTGATATTCTATGAGTGCTTAGAACAGAGCAGCATTCAGAATGACACCTGTAGCTCTGACATCCTTAGAATTACAATCTTTGGTTTGTCATCTTTAGGGTCCCAAAACAAGCTATTTGGTTCAATTATTCTCAGTGCTGGAGGTGCTGAGGTGCCAAAGAATCAAATACATCGCCCCTCCCACCCCCCCAGACAGGTGAGTCTGGCCCTAGGCAAGCTCCTCAGACTCCATATTAGTCCCAGAGGAGTGGACGGGGCCTCACCTGTGGGATGGCAGGCAAGAAGTACCCCGTGGGTGCCTGGAAGGAGCCAAGGAGAGGGCCAGGCAGGGCCCTCATGGTGGCCAGTCTCTGCATATACTGGTTGGTGAGAATCGCTTTTCTTTCCTCCTTTCTTTGAGCGAGGGCAACATACAAAGGCTTGGTGCTGACGATCCGTCCATTCATTTCCGTCACGGCCTTGGTAGCCTCTTCTGGGGAGGAAAAACATACAAACCCAAACCCTTTGCTGTGTCCACCCTCTGTCATCACCTAAAATTAGATTAGAACACAACAAAGTCCACTGAATGCCAGGCACTCCATCCGCGTATCACACACAGCTGTCATCACAGGTGGGGACGTGAGCAGGGAGGGAAACAGTGGACAGCAGCCAGCCTCCAGATTCAGAGGCAACCGACACTGTGGCCTGAGGCTCTAGGGACTGTGTGGGACTGATTTATTTCAAGCAAGGTTGGAGGCAGGAGCCCTGGGTGCAGCCATCATACAGTGCAAGTCACATGTAATAATCAAGGGTGATTTTTTCTAAGTGTCTATTTCAGGCACCTATTCCCAGCTGACTTCAAAACACAACAGCTCTAGTAGCAGTCCAGCATGCTGTCACATGTGGGTGAGGCAGGGGACATAACGGAGCTGGATTCCTGACCTGAGTTCCCCGGGCTAGCAGGGGCTGTGAGCACTGCAGAGGCAGCAGATACTCCCTGCTGCTGTGGGAGACTATAAGTGATTTATTTGCATAATCTGAAAAGCTATAGGCGAAAATGCAAGCCAGTCACAACTCAAGTGCCGGGGACTGAGGCTTACGCAGGCCCAAAGTCTAGGACTTGCTATGTTCAGTACTGGTGCCCCATAAAGCACCGCCACACCGAGATCAGTGACCATTTAGGATCTAATGCTTTGTGAATTAGACTCCCCATGGTAGCCCAGTTCTCTTACCTTTGCACTAGTAATGGTACCATATGGAGAGAACTCCTTCCTCAGCCGCTCATCATCAATACCATCATCCAGGTTCTTCACATATAAATTTACCCCCTAAGAACAGATAGGACTATAACTAGATTTCTCCAAAAAGGACAGCAAGCCTCGCACAATTCAGGATGGCTACAGAAGGCCCACAATAACTGTTCCATTAGGAACTTGTTCTGCTGTGTCTAACTGACACCTTCCCAGAAGACCATATTTCCAACCTACTCTATTAATACAAATCCTCCCTTTTTTCCAGGCATGAAAGAATGTGGCAGATACAGTGAAGCCACTTACTTGCCGTGGGGGTTTAGGACCACACTGGTTTTTCCCGCTCCTCACTTGTAGGTGTCGCCTATAAGACACACCCCGGAGGAGTATGTAACACAGGGAACTGGGCTGGCTTCTTTAAGGATCCAGTGCTACAAATGCAGATATATGAAATCCCAGCACGCCGGGCAAGCAAGGAGGCTCATTTCCCCGATAGAGATGCTGGCTGCCGTTGGGATTTTCAACAGCGCTCGCTCAGCAATGGGCATGCCTTTGTATCTGGAAGGTCTGACAGCTTCCCTTTGAGACTAGGAGACTCAGCAGACACATCCCATGCTGTTACTCCATCTGGCGACCATGCCAGAGAGCCAACAGGCACCTCTATTTCTTTCCCATTACCTGGTATCTGCTCACTCTTTCCTGTTTGATCTGTTCAAATTTACGCTTCAGTTCACTCTGACGCTCCATCCTCTTCTGAGCTCGGCCAACGTACACCACCCGGCCATTGATCTGCTTCCCGTTCATGTCTGCCACAGCCTGCCAGGAGAGGATCCCAAGTCTACGCACAAAGAGAAGCCACAGCCCCAGAACTCTCCCAGCCCCCCTTTGTGTAGGCTTTATTTCTCCCCATTGCTATCAGAGATCTTTCAAAATAAAAGGTATAAAAGCAGATTTGCTTCCAAGTTTGGATTACAGGGCAGATAAGAGCTTCCCTTTGCATAGGATGACTGCCCAGACAGACTCACTGGCCACCCAAACACACGTTGTTAACAAGAAGCTACAGGAATTGGAAGTTATGGAATCTTCCACACTAACAGATCGGTTAGTTGCATTTCAGCAGCTGGCACCAGTCTGCCCCTGCTCATGAGAATAAAGGCCCAGTCAGGCTTCTAAATGTCACAGACTCAATTAAATATATAAAGCAAAGACCCTCTTGCCTTCTGGGCTTCTTCGTGCTTCTCAAAGTTGACAAACCCAAACCCTTTCGAGCGACCAGTGTCGTCCATCATAACTCTGACGCTCAGCGTCTTCCCTGCAAACAGAAGAGTGCAGTGCCCTGAGAACAACCTGGAGCAGAACAATACTGTTCACCAAGGTCTCTGCTCACAGCTTGAGGAAATCACCCCTGCCCCTCTCCCCCTCCCCCATCTCCTGCTTTGGTTAACGATCACAAAGACTTTGTTAGAGGTCAGGCCAGTGCTGAGTGATGTGGGGGCAGTGGCAGCAGCACCCCATGTGTTGGGGTGACTCCAAAAATACACTGGTGCAGAATGGGGGCAATGACAAGAGTCTATTGCAGTGTGGACAGTCCCCTGCCAGCTAAGGCATCCCAACTAACAGGAGTGACACAATGCTGGTAGCAGGTAGATACAGGCACTCCAACTCACTAGCTTGGTCTCTCCAAGCCCTCCCCACAGGAACTATACAGCCAGATGAGTCATGACCCAACATATCTACTGGCTGGCACAGCAGACCTGGGTTCTATTCCTGATGCCCAAGGTTACACAGTAAGTCACAAGTTCTGGGGCCTCAGTTTCCTCATCTACAAAACTGAGAAATATCCCCATCTACCTTACTGCGAGGAATCTAGTCACAGAAACTCAGCCTTTGAGAAGCACAGATGAAAAGCACTACAGAAATGTTAGATTATTTAGTATTTCTCAAGCACCAGCAGTGTGCTCAGGGCTCGGCAACAAACAGACCTTGTTCCAAGAACTTAGGAGACAGTCACAACCCACTAGGAGACCGAGAGGAAAAAAGCAAAAGTTATTCTAAATTCAGACTAGTAATTTAAAGGGATTTAAAGGAAATTTACCTTTCTGTAACTAGATTCCATGCTCTGGCACAGCTTTGAGAAGTTCTACTCACTCACTTGCCTGGGGAGGGCAATTGTTTGTGGTTTGTTTTGAAAAGCAAGTAAGCCATCAGTCATCCTCCATCATCATGGTCAAGAGCAGATAATCAATGATTAAATTAATGACAGTTCTGCAAAGCTGCACTAGATGACTGCAGTCATTTGGAATGACTGGCGAGGTCCTCAGCTGGCTTTGTTCTTGGATAAGTGTTACCACTAAAACTATTACACCTCTACCCCGATAATAACGCGACCCGATATAACACAAATTTGGATACAACGCAGTAAAGCAGCGCTCCGGGGGGGGCAGGGCTACGCACTCCGGCAGATCAAAGCAAGTTCGATATAATGTGGTTTCACCTATAACGCAGTAAGATTTTTTTGGCTCCCAAGGACAGCGTTATATCAGGGTAGAGGTGTATATAAATAAGAGAAGAGGTCTAACTCCTCACTTAGGCTCTTTCCCTTGTACATACTCCTTGGTCCCCCTGCCTCCAATTCACTATCCACTGTGCAGATTTTGCTATAGAAACGCTACTCACCAAACTTGGAGAATATTTCCCGCAGTCGGTCATCATCCATATCATCCCCAAAGTTCTTGATAAAGACATTGGTGAATTCCATCGCCCGTGCCCCAAATTCTGCCTCCCGCTCTCTGCGGGATTTAAAATGGCCGACAAAGCTGCAGAAAGTAAACGGAGGCACATGAATCCTCACCATACATCCATTGGGCAGGGGAAAAAGACATGGGAGCCCACTGGTCAGTGGAGTCGCTCCTAATGGTGACTGTCGCTTTAGCACTGGTAACAACTGTGTATTTTTGCATCTCAGCAACCTGAGCAGATCTGACCTGCACACTCCCCCTATCCCCACAAACACTGGCTATTGTTACATAACATTAATGCTCCAGTAGCATCCAGAGGCCCTAGTCAGTACAGGGCCCCCCTTTGCTGGGGGCTGTACAGACACAGAACAACAGACGATCTCTGCTCCAAGGAGCGCACAATCTAAGAGCCATCCCATACCAGACATTGCTGAGGGGATCTCACCGGATCAAGCAGATCCTAAAGGAATTCAATTATTTGCCCTCTCTCCCTCCTAGATGGTGTATGGTCTGCCCGTCCTCCCTGCAGTGCCAGCTCCACCCTCAGTGGATCCCTGCCCTTGCATCCCAGCTGGGCAGTAGTGGCAATACACAGGCAGCGATCTAGAGCTCACTAGATCCAAGAACGCTGAGGTCTTTCACAGAAGGGGAGGGGAAGGGAGGGCTGGAGAAGGCTAAATCCTCTTTCCTTCACCTTATCTTAAACTGAATTCTTAGGGAGTCAGGGACCAGTACAGAGCTATGGACATCTGCGGTGCTGCATCACCAACATGATGTACGCCTGCTCTTGCCTGGACTAGGGATTTGTTCCCTCCGTGCCAGCAGTTCTCAGCCTCCATACTGCAACCCTACCAGGATCAACAGCATCATGCCAAAGCTCAGTGAAAAAAGGGCAGAAACAGCATAGGCCCTAACAGGGAACATATTTGCCCACTGAGCAATGCTGATTATGCAACACCACACTGAGCAAATACCGATAACCAAGAGTTTAGTTATTATACAAAGACCACATTCAGAGAGGGCTATCGAAGGGAGAAGCAGCACAAAGTGAGGATCCGATCCCCCCCCCCCCACTTACACCTTGCGGTCATTGAGCAACATCCCGTTCATGGTGTCAATGGCCCGATTCGCTGCCTCATGAGTCTCAAAGTGAACGAAGCCATAACCGCGGGATCCGTTCTCATCACAAACCACCTGCCAAGAGAGAGGCAGAGTCAGACACAGAAGAGCCTGAAAAAACAGAAGGCAGACCTCCCCACGCCCCACCTGGGGAGACCTGCCTAGCAGCCACCCATCGCCAAGGAACATTCAGCCTCACTGGCATCTACTTTTCACCAAGCTACAATACCTAAAGCTCCATGCTCATGACACACTGTCCCGTGGGGGGATAAGAGTACAGGTCACAAGCTCAGCTCCCAGGGTTGACAGAAGCTGGAAACACCATTGAGAAAACGTGCTGAGCTCCCGAGATAGGAAGTGGTCTGCACTGCTCTCAGGAGATCCCTTCTAGCTGAGTCAGAGTGCATCAGCTCTGAAGCGAGTTGCATCCAGCCTCCTTTGCCAGCGGAAATAAAGTAGCAGCGCTCCTCCCCAAAAACCCTTTAAGTCTCCTGTTCACTTAATGGGTAAAAATGTAAAGAAAACCATACAAAGCGATGCAAAGAGAATTCAGATCTCAACCGGTTTGACAACCCTGGTGGTAAAGGGCAGGCAAGTCCTAGGATAAATCTTGTTCTTGCAGCAAAAACATATGTACCTTGCAAGAAAGGATATTCCCAAAGGCTGAGAACGTATCGTACAAGGCTTTGTTGTCAATGGAGTCGTCCAGATTCTTGATAAAGACATTCCCAACCCCTGATTTCCTGAGGCCAGGGTCTCGCTGGGACCACATGATTCGAATGGGCCGACCTTTGATCACTTCAAAATTCATGGTGTCCAAAGCCCTCTCAGCTGGCAGGAAACATGCACATTTATTATGAATAAGTGAAGACAATTACAAGGAGAGAAGAATTGTGACATGGCCTGAAATTCCACCTACTGTAACACTGGCTGTCTGCACAATCAGATTGTTACAAGGAGCAGGGAAGTGTTATTTCCTCATTGTTGGGAAAAAGACCCCATTAAATCACAACCAGAGAGGCAGCCTAGGAGCTATTTTGCAAGCCAGGTTCCAAGCCACAGTAGACACACCAGACAGTCCTCTAGTAACATGTACAACGGAGGAGTCAGGTGATAGGCTCTGTTCATGTAGCCACCCAAAGCTCATCTACAGGAATCAGAGAATCCTTTTGCCCATTAGCACTGAAGAAAACTCCCCATTTGTCATTCACAGTAAACTGGAACAACCTTAAACCTGGCTGCCCACGTTCTTTCTGCTTTGAGCAATAGAGGATTTCAGTCTCCAGTGCTACTGACCTGGCACCCTTCACCCGCTGTAACCTCATTCCAAAAATCAAAGATGTCTTAGAAGTTTTGCCATTTACTTCAGAATCATCTTAGTTAAAATGAGAACAAATCCCTGCCTAGCAGTTCTGATGCTAGAAAATGAGAGTCCCATACAGTTTATCACTGTCATCATGAACACACACATGGCAATACCGCTTTCCCCTGCTCTGCTCCCAGAGGAGGACAATCAAGTCAAATGTACCTTTGAGCGCTTGGAGGAAGGTTATTCATGCATGTTGACTTTTTCACCTGGGTAGAAAACTCAACTGTAGGGTCCCTGGTGTCTCCCCTCCCACCCTCTATCTAGGCACACACATGTGATTAGACACTCAGATACCACACTGACGGGCACCACATAAGAACCCAGCACAGATTTAGACTAGAACCAAGTGAAAACAAAGCATTAAGTCAGTATTTATTTTGAACCTGGTAGCCTTAACATGACCCATGTAATCAGCCCTCACACCCCATCCCAAACCACAGATTTAAAAGATAACTTTCCAGAGGTTACGTTTTATCAGGCTTACCATCAGCGGGCTGCTGAAAATTTATGTAGGCATAACCGAGCGATCGACGTGTGGCAACATCCCGACAAACTCTGATGGACATGATCGGTCCAGCAGGTGAGAACTTCTCATACAGCATGGCTTCGGTCACATCTGGGTGAAGATCTCCCACATACAAAGAAGCTAATGGATATCCAGGGCCACTAGCGTTCATTGTCGACCACAAAGCTTAACTTTAAAGTGAAGCAAGACCTAGTTACTTACTGTGGCACAGAAAATATTTTTGTGCCAAGATATTAGAATATGGACTTTGGTTACATGCAGCAACCACCAATTAAAGTCTCATCCCAAACCCTCAGTTGCCTAGAAAGAAGTTGGCTGCAGTGCAGAGAATAGAATCCAGAATCCATAAGTTCTCTCTAGTAACACATCAGGACTGAACTACCCTCCAGGTATACCACAGACCCAGTATTTTCAATAAGGCTTTGCTCTCACTTATATTGATAATGTAAAGCTTGAATGGTTTATGTATATTACCAGAACCCTGTTCCCCAGCTCGAGCAAGCTATACGACAATAGGATACTCAGCTGGGGTGTTGTTCGTTATTTTAAGAGATGCCAAATGGAATTTCATTCCACGGTAAGCAAAACAACCCAATGGATTTGTATTATAATCCCTTATACTGTATTAGTTTTCTTCCCCTGTTCTTCAGGCAGAAAAGCAAATCCAAGGACCATGGAGGGCATTTTCAGTAATAGACGTTTCCTATGAAGGTGTTACCATTCGTAGTAGGACATCATAGCTTTCAGTATCACTGTATATTGTACTGTTCCAGGGTGACATCACACTGCAAGATTCAATGTTGCTGAAGCAGAGTGCATTGGGAGCCATTGTGTATGTTTTGTCATAGATCTAGAAGGATATAGGACAGACATACATGCTGTAGAAGTTGGAGGCTGGCAAATGGTCTCTTAAGGAAAGGCTAAATAGTTGGGGGGGGGGAGGAGAATTTGTGGGAGTAGGGTAAAGTGGCAGAGCCTGTACAACCTTGGGCAAGTCACACACTGTACTTCCCCTGCTATACAACAGAGATGACGCTAATAGTCCCCCATCCCGCCCCCCAGAGGGATCCTTAAGGGAAGGACAGTGGGCACAGATATCCTAGCAATCCCTGACAATCCACAATAGTGCCACAGATATCCTAGCAATCCCTGACAACCCAGCCCCTCACTTCAGAGGGCTGAGGCCCAAACAAAACTATTCCATGTTCCACTCGAACACTAGCAAAAATGAAACAAAGGCTTTCAGGCAGAATATCAAAGAAAAATAATGGACTGAAATAAATGGCTGATGATGAGGCACCAACCAGTGTAACCAAGGTTTCTAGGCATGGTACAACCACCATTTGTTCTGGTACCATGGACCAATGCAGTGAGAACAAGATGCCAGGAGAGGTTATCAGTTCCAAGAATCACTGCACCTCCAACCCACCACATGACGTACTCTTATCAAGAATCCTGGAATCGGATGTCTGGGAGAGTATGTCTTTAATTGCACGGTTAACCTGGGCTCTTACGCAGGTTTTAACCTTCACCCCTTACCAGATACACAGAAAAACTTCTAACATGGGTTTTCAAAGTCTTAAGCCCAGGCTAGCTCTGCTTTAACGTTGGCTGGAACACATCTACTTTGCAGTGAGGATGCAGACCCCCCCCCACCACACACACAAATCACTGGAATGCTGATAATCCTCCAAACCCCTTCCCACAGTTCTCCCCGAAGAACAGACAAGTTCTCCTGCAATTGGCAACCGACTGGGAAAGAATCAGAGCATCTCAGCACAAAGAACCAGTGGATATATCCCCAGACACACACAGACAAGTGCAGAAACAGTGAGGCTGCAGTAATGCGGCTAGGGCTTTGCAGTGGGGACGCTCATTCCTGGGCTAGGATAACCCAGGCACTGGTCACCTGAGTTGAACTGTGCAGTGAAGTCATACCTCTAGAGCAGGGGTAGTCAGTAGGTGGAGCACGGGCCAAATCCAGACCGTCAGATGCTTTTGAGCAGACTGTGAAATCTTTTTATTTACTTCTTATCATTGTTTTCTTTTTTGTATTATTTTCTCTGAAGTCTGGATCTTGACTATACCCTGATCAAGAAATTTGGACCTTGATAAAAAAAATGACTGATTACCCCTGCTCTAGAGGTAAACCAAGTGCTAGTGGCAGAATTTTCTTGGTAGCACTTCCAGGCCCCTAGGATTCACTCCCTGCCAAAGTACTAACCTAGCCACTTCCAGAGCTGCAAGATACAGGCCTTTGCCCAAGTCTTCCCAACTGATTAAATCCTCACCGGCTGGTAAAGATGCAAGAAGCCGGAAAGAGTCCTGTTGGTTTCTCTCACTGAGATTTTTCAGGTCTCAATTTAAATGTTACAAGGCTCCTTAGACAACACAGTGATGGGTGCCAAATCAGTGTTTGAAATAAATATATATATAGTACAGCACATGATTATTGTATGTTAAATACTTAAAAGTCATCTACCAGCTTTGAGTCACAGCCAAATGCTGATCTCTGGAGAAGTTTGCATCAGCTCCTAAACTCAGTGCCCCGGTGTGACATACCAAGAGATTCTAACTTCTGAAGTAACTGAAAAGCACCTCCCATGGCCCTCATGCAAATATGTTCACCCCCACAAGCACAGGCTCAGGAAGGAGGTGTTAACAACCCTCTACAGCTGGTGAGAAGGCTGCTGTTTTGTAAGGCCTTTAGCCACCACATTTGGGCCAATGGAAGAAGTTTCTTCATTTGTGTGGACAAATCTGGATAAAGCTGGAAACGTGGCATAAGCAAGACTACTAAAACAAATAAATCAATACGCTGGGGGAGGGGGGGAAGAAAAACTAGGCAATGAGAGAGCAAGCTGCCTTTTCAAATCCATCCCATTTTGCCTGAGGATGCTAGTTTTGAGCCATGAAAAGTCACATAGTCAAATGTCATCTTGCCTTACGTGTGCAGCCCGCAATAAAAGTGCAGCCCACCAACAACTAAGCTAAAGATGGTGGAGATGGGGTTTCCACTCCAGCAAATAACAGAGCCCGCATCAAGACCACCCTGAAAGCTCAGGCAATCAGGAAAGAAACTTCAACGGGGAATAGAATAAAACTCAGCCCATGGTATCAGTCAGGTCACAGCAGAAAGAAACCTGGTCCCCATGTGTTCAGAAGTGGCCTTTAGTCCATAGTAAAAGAGAGTAGTCTGAGACTAGAACATGTAAGAATTTTGGAATCCTAGTCTCCAGAAATGGTCCCAGCCCTCACTGCCCCAGGAAGTTGAAGTTCACTCTGGCCTTGCCTATCCACTGACCACTGTAAGTCCCTGGTTGTCCTCTTCCCTCAACTGCCAGTCAGAGACAAATCTTGGAAATATGGTTCTGTCTCCTCTAGCAGGGAGGCAAAAGGAATTTCCCCAGCATTTCTCTGGTTCTTTTGGTCTGTGAATCTCAAAGCACTTTATAAACATTAGTAAAGTCTCACAACACCCTTCTATGATGGGGAAGTATTATCACTTGAGGAAAACCTCAGAGAAATGACATGCCACAGAGCAAGTCAGTGGCATAACTGGGAATAGGACCCTTAAGTGCTAATTTCTAGTGCTAATGTTCCAACCACTGAACACTTCCTCTCCGGTGGAGAAACGCCTAACATAAATTGCACTCTCCCTGAAGAGTGGAACACAAAAAGAGTGAGTCACCAAGGGAAGAGTTCAAAGCTACATTAGCAACTTTGGAGCCTTTCCAGTAGAGAATTGGGCAGAGCCCAGCCAAGGAGCAGTGTGTGGAGGGAAGACTCTAACCCCGACTGTTCTGCAAAGCTAGGATTTACTTCTGTAAAATGGTCTGCATTGCACTCTCATTCCATGTCTGCCCAGCAAAGGAGATTCGTAGGACTGGGGTTCCCAAAGCCAGTTTGCATAAGTTCTCAACATCAAGGGCCCATCCGAGCTTTTTGTGTTCTCTCTCCTTCAAATCCACTCATTCTTGCAGGAGACTGGCCACTAGCTTTGTGGTTTCATAGCTTAGATACCTGAGTTTACATGTGCCTAGACAACCTCCACTTTGGAGAGAGGGATCTCTACCATCTCCGTGTACACTCAAGTCTTCATTTACTTTAATGTTTGTACCATTTTCTTTAGTGCGACTTCTTTCCAAGGGATTTTCTCCTTTCTGAAGAATCTGCACGCAAACAGATCTAAATGGAAACTTCATCACTATGCTCTCTGTCTGTGTGTATATATATATCTCCTCAATATATGTTCCATTCTATATGCATCCGAAGAAGTGGGCTGTAGTCCACGAAAGCTTATGCTCTAATAAATTTGTTAGTCTCTAAGGTGCCACAAGTCCTCCTGTTCTTCTTATCACATTTGATTGTTGATGTGTTGGAGATTTGGGGTTTTCAATATTATAAAGTGAGTTTAAATTTCACGGCTCAAGGGGAAGTCCAAGGAGTGAGAAAATGATGTTGAACCTGGTGTTCTATGATAATACAACCTTGCAAAGACCCTTTCCTTAATACACCAACCCACCACAGGACCCATAAGCATCGCAGGATCTGCATGCTTTCAGGTTCAAATTTTACACCATGTGCCTTCAGTGGAATCACACGAGGTATGAATCATCATAGTATGTGGCCCACAGTACTTAAAAGGGGAGACTGTCCAAGTCACAAAGGGCAGATACACAACTTCCATTGACTTTCAGTCACAACAATGCCAAACTTCCATTTGTGCCTTTGAAAACTTTCCCCTCAAATCCTGTGTTAATTTCAAGGTTTTATTATTTAATACTTGTGACCCAACAGAATTGTCAAGGTGTTTCTGATTGCTCAGTAGAGTCAAAAGCCGTTAGCTTGACTGAGAAAAAATATCTCAGATCCCAGGGAAGCAGTAGGGGCTTTTAATAACTTGGTTCCCCACCTGCAGAATTTGCTTTCCATTCCTGTGCTGCTCATTCCCTTAGTCTATCTCAGCATTTATACCAATTAAATCTCCATTTGCTGTTGCTCTCGAAAGCTGGTGAGATTCTGATGCATTTAAATGAGTTTTTCTGCCAAGTGACTTTTCTGGGTAAGGCACAGCAGTAAAACATTTCGGTGTATGGTAAAAGCCCCTTTTAGGAAAGGAGGGAGGGAACTGGGAGGGATACCCCACCCCACCGCTTCTGATGAAAATGTACCACCCATCCATCAGGTTGGCTGGTTTCAGCATCCAAGATCCCATTAGAACCATGCCTGGAATCAATTCCTCCACCTGCCCACAAAGCCCCCACCCCCTTTCATAGCGCGACAGCCCTGGTCGCCAGCATTTAAGAACTACCCCCAGCCCTAGGGAGTGCGTGAGGGTGGGGGTGTTCTGTAGCTTTGTAACAAGGGGAGGCAGGGAGCTGGAAGCTCTCAACAGACCCCCCCCCGCTCGCTGAGCCGCATGAGCCCTCTGGGGCAGCGGAGCGGGCTGACCCCCGACCAGCCAGGAGCCCTGGCACACCCCGGAACCGCAGCCCCACCCGCTCGCTGCCTGCTTCGCCCACGCACCCAGCCCGCGGCACAGCCCTGCCCACCGCCCCGGACACGCAGGGCT